CGTAACGTTTTAAAGTGCATAGAGTGGTGGCAGAGGTCTTCGGTGTCATCCGACTTTAATGCCTGCGAATTAAGACAGGCTTTTCTAATAAGAGTAAAATATACGTTTTTCTTTTCCATGTGCGTCATCCTAACAAATTATATGCCGTTACCTTATTAGAACAAACTGATTTAGTATTGTGGGCCCTTAGCCTAACTTGTCTGTTTGATGTAATTTACTAACAATTTTTATTTTTGTTTTAACGCTAGCCGCACGAAAATACACTTTCAATTCCCGTTTTCGACCATTGTCGCAATTATAAGCAGGAGTTTTTATATTGGAATTTCGCTAGCCGTTCTGCATAAACTGCACTTTATTATTAAAAAATACTCTAGGTTTGTCGATATCTCAAGAATTATACGTAACCTTAATATACGCAGAACATATATACGCGAAACTAAAACCAATCACTTTCCTTACGCGAAATTTTGCTAAAAATTACAAATAAAATGCTTAAAACGCATTAATCGGGTACATAAAGATACAGCGACTATGAAAAGGGATATTTAGATATTTAACTTGAGACAACCTTACATTGTTTAGTGTGAACTTCTGACAGGTTCACCAAAGTTGTGGTAACTCCATTAGAAATACAAGCCCAGCGGGAGTTTCTGTTTTATCATAGAAATAGCACAAAATAACAAAGTTTTCGTCCGACTGCCAAAAGGTTTGAATGTGGGTAAATTTGCCGTTCAGTAGTGGATATTTAATATAAAAGGGAACTTTCATTAAGCCTTTCATACACTTTTCTCTGTGCAGAAACTGTTTTCTATATCTCAAAAATGTTGGTTCCATACCCGTATTCTATGGACGCCGTCATTCGCAGCGGTCTACGTTTATTGTGTGGATACGTGCGCAAGCCAATTCAAACACTGCTACTGGTAAACGTTTACTCTCTGCATATGTTGCTGTCTCGAAAAAAGGCATAGGACCGTGTCTTGTAACAAAAAGTCAATTGCCACACACACCTGACACTTCGAACATTGATTTCGATGATGTCTACCAAGTGCTTCAGAAGCCGAAATGAATGCAGTGACTTATGTGTAAATGAGGTTCAAGCGAGAGGAAAATTCACTTGTAACTAACTCACTCCCTCCCTAATCACGATGGGTCCCCCTGGTTTGCCGCTATAATTCACAGCAGCCTGCTGGTCCTATATTTCACATCTTTTATCCCTCGAATGGCAGTTTCTCTGTTGGAACGCATGAGTAATTGCATACAATTATGTATGTTCAATTTTGCCAGTGGAGTTCAGAACTACTGGCTACCAACAGACAACTCAAAGACGTTGCTTATACTTCCCTTAATAAAGTTGACTTGACGTGACTCTCCAACATCGGTCGGCTCTGTTACAGTCTAGTTGGCTTAAGGCCCATTAAACGTATAACAAGTGTTAGAAATGGTGAATATCAATTTTCTAGAAAGTAGTAACTGACTAGAAGTAACTTAACTACAAGAAACTACGGCAAAAAAGCGCGTAAAAGTTGATATACAAGAATATAAAAAGGTACGGTACGCGTCACTGAGTCCGAAATCTCTTCTTCAGCAATGTTGATAGAATATTCACTGATTTGGACTTTGAAACGCCTGTTGCTACTTTGTCCAGGTATAGCAAAACGAGCGAAGTAACAATTTTGCCTGAATTTCCGCTCGCTCACTTAACTCCTGATAGCTCTAAAAGCTCTTTGTCACTTCACTTAATGATAGCGCCAATACATGAATCAGCGCTTAAAATTAGGCTTGCACTAGATAGGCGTAGGGAGCCGCTAGCATTAAGTGATGTTAGTTCTTCCAGATCTGTAGCTCAAGTCTGCCTTCTTTGGTCGTCGGCTAAGCTTCAGAAAGTCATTCCGCCTTTACTTGATGCTAACAAGCATTTTGTTACAGAGGATTTAGACGAAGCAGAATTGTTAACTTCCTTTTCCGCCAAGTTCTACAGAAACAAGCTCCACTCCCAGGCAGGTTTGGTTTTACTAGGCGCTCTAACTGAATATCCAGAGAATAAACAGGGTGTCACAAATAAATGTATGCATATTTTAAGTAATTGTAAACTTGGTGTTTATCATAATTTTGTTATTTAAAAAACGTTAAAAGTATCATTTTATTGTTGTTTTCACTGCATTTTGACTATTCCAACAGTGGCTGAATTGAGAGAAGCCGTCAAACATGAATACACCTGAATCCCAAGGGAACTGTTTCATGGTATGTGTGATTCCACTGTTTCGCGTTGTCAGCAATGTCATAATCAAAATGGACGTCACTTTGATAACATTCAGTGATAAAAACAATAAAGTGGTACTATTAAATATCTTAACGCTTATTTACTAATACAATTTTGATAGACACCTATTTTACAAATAGGTACATTGTATTGGGGCACCCTGTATTTAATTGTAATGCACATATATTTAGTTAAAAAACGAGTAGGCAACGGTCATTGGTACTTAATAGGATACTGCATGGTATGCTACTGCACAATCTTAACCTAACTGGGGACCAGGACGTGAGTAGTGCTAAGATGAGGCGACAGAGGAAGATGGGGCAGGTAGAAGGAGACGCCATCGTCGTCAGTTGACTGACATTGTGTGACATAATGCCTTTTCCGGTGACGTCTGATATTCCTTCTTGCTAACATGGTGGTACAGGGGAGCCAGAAAATAGGGCCGCTACTGGGGAATCCATCCCACGACCAAGCAGGCTGTACTAGGTGTAGCCCGCTGGGAGACGTGGCTTTGAAATAAGCAAAATGTCGTTGGGAACTGTCTTTTTTACAGATTGAGAATCGGACGGCAGTGGCTTGGCAAGCATTTGAGATTTTGGTATGGTATATGTAGTCAGGACAAGGTCGGAGACTGCTGTTTACATGTATCAGGTACTGCAGCTCAGCTCTCGCTTAGCCGTCGTGACATTGTCGTGTGATAACAGTCCGGCGAATTGTGGTACGCACTGCACCTTGAGCGCTTTGAAAATCGATGATGAAAATGTTACTTGAAATAGAAAAAAGCCCGAACTTGGCGTTTTATTCATAATTACGGGCGACGCCGTTCACACGATTTGAATACGCTATGGAGCGTGTCCCCTAACCCTTATTAACAATAGGAAACCATTCAATAGTATTTATTGCGTCCGTCTTTCTCTTATTGTTATCTGTTTTGGGCAAGACCATTCGAGTCATTTATACGGCGTGGAAATTGTCGGCGACTACATGGCCTTCGCTAGCTTTAGAAGACTCAGATTATTCCCCCTAGCCCGAGTATCACGTACACCGGTGTTGAACCACTACATGCACAGCCGTATCTCAGTGTTTCTAACCCATATGTTGGAGTGCAAACAAAGGAGAAGGCTTTAAAAGGTCCAGTTGTTTCGTTTACCTTAGAAAATCCTAAAACGAACTATGACAGATCCGTGAGTTTCAGGGTTAGCCCGTCGCTGCACGTGATACAATTGTCGTCTGTACCATATTTTGGGTTTTGTTTATCTGATCACGCGAGTTTACTTTCTCGAGTAAACTCGGGTGGTTTACTCGAGAAACCGTCGCTGGCCATACCTGATCCTTTGGCTCTGTTTTTTAGTCTTTACCTATCTGTGTGATCCGAGTTTTCAGTACGCTTGCCTGGGTTGGTTTACATTTATTTTGACCGTCAATTTTAAAGATAAAATGGATTTCTTGTGGGGTCTTCGAAATGATCTTATGTATTATAACTACCTACTTAAAATGGTAAGTAAATTAAATTACTCACAATCTTCCAGTTTTTTGAACGCCAGCCGTCGACCCAGTTGGGCTTTGACAATGGCATTGAACGACAACTGGGTCCTCCGAAAGCCTCCGCATACAGCAACCACTTAAGTCAGTATTTTAAGCAAAAGTGCTTTTCATATTAATCACGTGATAATCACTTACTTACACATTTTAAGTATGGTGAATTGCACAATCCTCAAACCTTCCTCACTCATTCGTCTTAATTCTAGGTGGGGTTAGTGGTTCTACTAGAAAATGTTCCAAACTAACCTCGCCAGGGGTTAGGGCACTCTCCCCCACAAACACGTGCTCGCCGTTTTTTTAAAAGAATTATTGCGATCTAATTTGTTCCTTGACATGCCCGCCCCGCCCCTCCTCTCTGCTGAAATCAGGTGCCCGTGAGACTGAGGGGCGCGTTTTGCATGCTCCTCAGGCGGCTACACGAGGTATGCCTACAAAAAATGGTATCTCACCCAGCGACGGATTCTGCAAGCTGCCATCAAAAGGACAAGTAAAACCGTTGTGATTTTGTCAGGATTTTCAAGGACTTACGATCTACATGCGATTAGGTGTTTTCCGCAGGGGGCATTGAGCGTAGCGTACAGTGACGAACAATATTACGCCATATTTAAGACAGGCAGTGAACGCCTACCTCCAACGCAGTCCTCGCGTAGACGTGCGTCATAAATGCACCTTAAATGTCATACCCGTAGGTTGCATTGGACACGAGCAACGATGCAATCACGAGGTGACATATGGACAAGGATGTCCACACACACACATGATTGAAACCGCAGAGTCACGCGGAATTTCAGGAAGTCAGCGAACGCCTACCACCAACGCAGTCCTCGCGTAAACAGTTGTCATAAATGCACTTTCGACTGCATTGCCGCAGGTTGCATCGGACACGAACCCTTGCGCCCTTGAGGTCACATGGAGAGAATGATGCCCAAACATG